AAAAATTATATTTAATATATTTTTAATATATATTTTTAAAATATAAGTTATATAAATTTTTTAAAAATTAATTAAAAAATAAATTAAATTAAAAAAATATCATATAAAAAATTAGTAAGCGGAAGAAGACCGGCACTGAAGGTGCCGGAAGGTGCCGAAAGCTGCCCCCTTGTCCCCACTGTCCTTGGAGTAATTTTCACGGCTCTATTTTTATGTATGGTCTTTCATTAAGTCTTTATTAAGTCTTTCTTTTAATGTTAAAATATGATCTAGTTGTACAATTATTGACGATATAATAATGAATTAATTTTTGTATTTTTTTGTATACATATATTTTTTATTAGTTTAAATTATTAAGATATTTTTAAATTAATTTTTATACATTTTAAAATTAATTTTTAATATAATTTTAAGAAGATATTCTCCACATTAACTTAATATATTTAAATAAATTAATTTATTTAATTATTAATTAATCTTAAAATTTAAACCATAAATCTCATTAAATAAGACACTTAACCAATAAATTCAAACCCTGTGAAGTTTAGAATTAATTGAGACTTAGTGGAAGACAAATCCTACGTTCAAACATGTGCAAAAAATCTTAGAGAAAAGATGGACTCCTAGGTCTCTATTGTAATTGGCTACAATTTGCTTTAATTGAAATATTGTAACTCCCTTACACACTGTCACATCGCCAAGCATCTTCCAGGAAATATACAGCTAATCACTTCTTTAAGTTTGCTCTTCTGCTTTGTTCGCTCGCCTTTTCTTATAATCAGACACTGTTTGGCTTGCAATTGGGTTCGTTGATCTGCTACTGCTTCGAATTTATTTGGTCTAACGAATTTGATTTTCTTTAATTTCTTTTATTAAATTTACAAGTATATTGCCTATTTAGATCTTTTATCTTAATTCTATATGCCTATGTTATCTTTAAAGTATATATATTAAAAGAAAAATTTTATTTATTTATTTATTTTTGCGAGAGCTTGACTTTATTAAAAATCTCCAATATCTTTCATTCTGGAATTGTCTTTTAGCAATTGTTAGTTTCTTTATCTTTAAATGTGCTTTTACCTAAATAATTTGTAGTTATTTAACAAATTTTATGAGTTTTTCTTTTCGATATTGTAACTAAATATACACATGACTGACTAACTATAGGTGATCATATTTAAAATTTGTTTTTCTTTTAGGAAAACGACTTTAGCTCCAAAGAATTGAGTTTGCAACTAGATCTGCTGCTATTTGTAATTTGCTTGGTTTAATTTAATTATCATTATCATTTTCTTCAATTTCATTTATTAAATTTACAGATATAACATCTAAATCTTCCATCTTATTCTTGTTTTTTCCTTTGATATTCTTTCATATTGATTCTTTTAAGTTCTTTTTTATCTATATAAAATGAAAAAGTAAGTATAAAAATGTATCAAAGGAGACAAACCATTTTGAACCTTAGTGTGTGGCTCTTTTTATCACTGGCTAATTGTTTCACCCATCCCACTAGATTCAAATTCCCTTAACCTCCTTTCCCTCTTCCTATCCTCCAATTCTGGTTGTAAAATATATATATATATATATTTTAATATATCAATCACTAATTACCATTCACTACTCTTTCATTCAATATTGTCAAAATCAAGATTTTACTTAAAATTATATTAGATAAGTAAAATCAAAATC